AGGCAGAGAAAAACAGAAAATATGCCCTATGAAATGACTCATTTTTTTCCAACTATACTCCACCTTGCCCAGTACCACCACCTCCCAACAGACAATTCAAATTTTGAATCCATCAAGGGATTAAACCATTTATTAAGCCAGAGTCATCACGATCCAATTGTCTCTGGAAATGCTATCACAAACACAGCCACAGGTGTCCTTTACTAAACCTAGACACCTCTCAATCCAATCAAGCTGGCAGCGAAGATTAACCATCAAAATAATTGAATTTGTTCTTAAAAATTAACTGATCAATGAATCTGAATGTACTAAATTTTGGTAGGCCATAGGCAGGAAGTAATTCTTAGATAATTTAATCACTAATTAGCACTAAAAAAAAAAATCTGATGGATTACAGGCTGAACTACTGAAAGGAATTAGAATTTTGAGAGGATGAAATAGAATATTTAAGGAACATAGAAGTCTGATTTTCAGAAAACTAAATTTCTTCCAAAAAGGGAAGATAGGAAGATACCCTATGTTAAGAGAGTATTCTTTCAAGAAAATAACAGTGTGTCCAGAAGTTAGTCAATGTTTACCTATGTTGTAAATAAATTATTTTTTATTTTTGAATTTTTAATGCACAAGAAATATAAAGAAATTTAGGAAAAACATTTAAGTGCTTGATGAATGAGTAAATGGGTGGATGGAAATATCAATACTGAATGGCTGATAAAGATATTTCATGTTTTTATTCCTGAAATTTTAGTAAAAATGTCCTGAAAGAAAAAATCTATTAATATTGACAACTTCTTTGTGTGAATTCTTATACAATTCTGTAAATACAACACACATATTTATGCATATATGCAAGCATACAGAAACATTTCAAATTTAACTTGTGAAGTTAGAGGGTATAGGATGTATATTGAAAGCTGTTGAAAAATGGGGGATGGGAGGTAAAGGGGTAGGAGAGAGTAATGGACAAGGTTGAATGGATCGAAGTAAAGCACACCCACAGCAGGGATACATTTAGAAACCCCTTTGAACATTAACTTAAATATTAATAATGTAAGACAAGACTGTAAAATAGGTACAGAGTGTAGGGGGTGGTACTAGTTGGGGGTGAAGGAAAGCGATTAAGGTGAGGGTATATGGTTGATGGGCTTCATATACCTGTATGAAAGAGAACAAAGAAACTTCTTTCAATTGCTTTAAGTGGGACAGGGAAGGGGTTAAGGGGGAGAGATGATGGGAGTGATCAACAACATACAACATAAGCCTAATTGGAATTGTCACTATGAATCCCCTCCATACAATGAATATACCCTAATAAAACATTATAATAATTAAAAAAGAAATATTTCAAGTTGAAATATAAACTTCATTAGTTTGGTCTTCACATATTAAAATTTTTATAATTTATAAAGGGATAGGTCTGATTTGAATTTTATTACTGACTTGATTCAAAATCTTAAAATGAATAGAAGTATAGAAATGACTGATTTTGCTATGTTGATTTTGTAACCAGCAACTTTACTGAATTTCTGAGTTCTCTAAGGAGTGTTTAGGTTTTCTGTACATAAAAATCATATCATCTGCACACAGGAAGATTTTTGTTACTTTTCCAGTTTGAAATCCTTGCATTTCTTTTGTTCATATGATTACTGTGCCTAGATTTCCATCACTAAGTTGAAAAGAAGTACTGCCAGTGGCCACCCTATTGTTCCTGATCTTAAAGGAAAATCTCTTAGTTTTTCACTTAGTGGAGTATGATGTGAGCAGAATAAACTGTCCAAAGAGGAAATTAGGAAAATGATCCCACTTATAACACCCAAAAAAGAATAAAACACCTGGAAATAAATTTCACTAAATAGGTAAAAACTTGATGAAAGAAATTAAACAAGACACAATTAAGTGGATAGGCACCCTATGCTCATTAGAAAACTCAATATTGTTAACACAGTCAGACCACACAATACAATCTACAGATTCAATGTAATTGTTACAAAAAAAACTCAATAAATATTTTACAGCATTAGAAAGACAATCTAAATTCATATGGAACCACAAGAGACTGCAAATAGCCAAAGCAATCTTGAGAAAAAAGATCAAAAGTCGAGGCATCATACTTCCTGATTTTAAAACATAATATAACCCTATAGTAATCAAAATAGCGTGATAATGGCATAAACACATGCAGACAGAGCAACAGGAACAGAGTAGAGAATAAACCTAGAGAAAAATCTATGCATAGCTGGTCAACTGATCTTTGACAATGGTGCCAAAAACACAATGAAGAAAGGGAAGTCTTTTCAACAAATGATGCTGGGAAAGCTTGTAGTGACATATAAAAAAGTAAAAGTGAATCAGTATCAAACAGTATACACAAAAATAGCTCAAAATGGATTAAAGACTTAAATGTAGAACTCAAAATTATAAACCTCAATAAAGAAAACCTTAGGGAAAAGCTTCATGACAGAAATTGACAATGGTATCACAGATACGATTCTGAAAGTCCAAGCAACAAAATAAATGCAACAAGACCAAAAATAAAACAATGAGATTACAATGATCTAAGAAGCTTCTGCATAGAAAGGAGTCAGTCAACATGGACAGGAAGCACAACTTATGGAGTGGGAAAAAGTATTTACAAACAATGCATCTAATATGGGATAATCACCAAAATATAAAAGAATATAACTCATAAGGAAAGAAAATCTCAAAATTTGTCAAAAGACTCCAATACACATTTTCCATAGATGAAATAAGGAAAAGGCAAATCAAAACTACAGTGAGAAATCATCTCATATCTGTTATGAAATGTATTATCAAAAACAAAAGATAGTAAGTGGTGGCCAGAATGTGGAGAAATTGGAATTCTTTCACACCATTGATGGGAATACAAAATGTGACAGCAACTCATGAAAAACAATATGGAGGTTCTTCAAAAAATTAAAAAGAACAGGGTATGATGGTACATGCATATAATCCCAGCCACTCAGCAGGAACAGGTAGGAGAATTACAGTCTGAGGCTGGACCAGGCAAAAGTTCAAGACCCCACCTAAAAAGTGGGTGGGGAGCGGAAGGGGTAGGCGTGTCCCAAGTGGTAGAGCACTTGCCTAGCTAGTGTGAGGCTCTAGTTCAAACCCTAGTACCACCAAAACAGAAAACTAAAAATATTAACAGAACTACGTATGATATGGCAATCCTACGTCTGGTTATTTGTGTAAAATAATTAATAGCAGGTCTTAAAGAGATTATCAGCGCTCCTATGTATACTATAGCACTTTCCACAGTAGCCATGATGTGAAAACAGCTTAAATGTCCATGAAATGAATCAACAAGGAAAATGTGGTATGTCCTCTTCAATCTTAAAAAGAGAAGGAAATTCTGCCATATGTATACATGATGAACCTTGAGGGTATTTCACTAAGTAAAATAAGCCGGTCACAGAAAGCAAATACTATGTGATTCCACTTTACTGAGGTATGTAAAGCAGCAAATTCACAGAACCAAAGGATGAGATGGTGACTGCCAGGGGCTTGGGGAAAGAGGATAGAGAGTTAATAAAACATAGGTATCACATTTCAGTAATGCAAGATGAGTTAGCTCTAGGAATGTGCTATAAATGTTATACTACAGTCACACATAGTATACTATAAACATAAAAGTTTAAGACTGAAGAACTCATATTACATGTTCTTACCACAATGAAATAATACTATTTATAACTATAAAACATTAACTATGAAAGCCAAAATGTACTTTTAGATGCACCTTGAAGAAATACACATTTTAAAAATGACAGCCGGGCGCCAGTGGCTTTCTTCTGTAATCCTAGTTAGTCAGGAGGCAGAGATCAGGAGGATCATGATTTGAAGCCAGCCGGTGCAAATAGTTCGTGAGATCCTATCTCAAAAACACCCATCACAAAAAAAGGGCTGGTGGAGTAGCTCAAAGTGTAGGCTCTGAGTTCAAATCCCAGTACCACCAAAAGAAATAAAAATGACATTTCATCATTATAAAAGCAATATGTTCATTATGGAGCATCTGGAGCACAGAACAACGTAAAAAATAGTAAAATGACCCATAATCTAACTACCCAAGATAAGCACTGTAGACATTTTGGTAAACCGTTTTCCACTGAAAGAATGTATTTCTTTATGAAATCTTAAAAACTATATTCTATTCCTAAGTAAAACTTCTATTCCTCAATTTATTTAAAAATAAAAGTGGGGGAATATAAGTTCCTCCTTAAAAAAAAAAATCTACTATTAGTCCATGAGAAAGTGAGACTAAATGATCAATAAGAATCCCACTTCTCACTTTAAACAATTGCTTCCATGAAGTCAAACTTCTATAAGTCAAAGTTTTATTGGATTGGGTACAATTGTCTCTTAGAACACAGTAGGGTTTTAAATTAAATGAAATTTTAAAAAGACAGGATAATTGAATGACTTTTTGTTTGTTTTGTTGTTTTAGGTTTGTTTTGTTATTTTGTTTTGTATTGTGTTATTTTGTTGTTGTTGTGCTGGGTGGGGGTACATTGTGACATTTACAAAAGTTATTACAATTTCAAATATATCATACTTGAATTCACCCCCTCCACCATTCTTCTTTATGTCCTCCTCCCCCATTCCTGGACTAGTTTCAACAGGTGTCTTTTTTCCATTTACATACAAGTGTACATATTTGCACTATATTCACCCTCCTACACCTTTTCCCCTCCTCCTACCGCTTCCCACTAGTACCAACTCCCCCAGACAGGACCTGTTCAGCCCTCCTGTTCTCTGATTTTGTAAAAGAAAAAAAAAGAAGTTTTTGTTTATTTATGATAGTTACACAGGGAGTTTCCTTGTGTTTTAAAAGGGGGTCTTGATGTGTTGGCCAGGCTGGCCTCAAAATGCTGGGCTCAAATAATCCTCTGTCCTCAGCCTCTTGAGTAGCTGGAACCACAGGCTCATGCCACTAAGCCCAGATAGCAAAAATTCTTTATAATCCAATGAGTCATACTTACAGTCACCCAGAAACATTTTCTGTCAATTAAAAGGCAGCTACATCATGTCCTAAGAGATAATAGGAAAAGGAATTTCCTGTCATGAATGACATGAGACTACAAAGCAACCAAATTGATACTACTTTGACAGAACAATAAAAACAAAACATTCATTTTTATACTGTTACATGTATTTTGATTGCATGAACTCCCACTATCCCAGTGCTACGAATACAGTTTAAGTGTCTTGAAAATTTCCCTGATGTAGACAAAGAATATATCCTGAGTATCTAATACTTCTTCAAAAATAAACCATGCAATTTTGTTTTCAAAAAATCAGTCCACCATTGACATAGCATTTACTTCAGAATGAATAAAACCTACTAAACATTAAAAATAAATGTTCAAAGAATGCTTACCTAATTACATCTGATTAAGTACAGTAAAGGCTTTGTGTGCTTTTCCTTCATCTTTCCATTGAATTCCATTCAGACATTGGAGTGCTTGCTACCTATGGCCTGTTTTAATGCAAGACAAATACTAGCTCTGAATAATCAGTCTCCTTTCCCCAGGTGGAGGACACAAAGTGCATAAATTGGTGTTGGTGAATTAAAGATGGGACTGATCTCAAGTTTCTGATTGTCAGTCCATCCATTTCATAGCGAAACTAAAAGGCACTAAATTGGTGAGACCTGAAAGGGCATACCAATGGAGTCCTTAAACAGTGTCTGTTCCTCCACTTTCTTGTGATCAATCTGAGAGGAGTGAGCAGCTCTCCTGTACTTTACTTATTCCTGCCACTTTATTGACTGTTGTTTGGAATTTCGTTTAAAATAAAACCAAAAACAGCTATAACATATACTTTACGTAGTATTATTTTCCTTATTTAAGATGTACATTTTAATTGTTTTTAGAAAATTTACAAATTTTCTATGTAACTATCATCATCACCTGATTGTAGACATTTTCATTTTACAAAAAAAGACACACTACCTCACTTGAAGAAAGAATAGAAGAAAAAAAGGACAAAGAGAAGGTAGAGTGAGGAAGAGAGGGAAGGAGAAAAATGAATAGAAAGGATTCATCCTAAAGAGTGTAAACAAGGCTTAAAAATCTTTTTAAAGTCCTGCAAAGATAAATTCAAAATTTTAAATGTATAATTCCCACTTCTGTCTAGATAATCTTTGCTTCCTTTTTCATTGATTAAAAAAAAATCCCTTCATTAATTAGTCACAGATTGACCAAAAGATTTGGCCAAAGGAAGGGCTTTGTAAGTCAGGAGTCTTCCCCTAAAACAGTATTGGGCGTCTTGGTTAGTTTTGTCATCCTGCAAATGATGAATCCATTTTTAACAGAAAATGGATAGACTCAGTCCACATTACTTTGGGCTGTTTTGAAATAATGAAAGTATTTTCCTTTCATTCCTACTCAAACACCCAATTTCAAGACTCAATTGACACGTCTTTTCAGATCTAATCAATTTTGTGCTTTTTAGTCCTGTAATAGAAAAGGAATGGAGTAACCATTAGAAAACTGTCATCAGTTGCAACTTTAATCCACCTACATCCAGCTATTCCTTCTTTCCTAAAGGAATACTCCAGGTCACCTATTCTTTACTTCTCTAGTTGCAATCACTTTTTTTTTTCTTATGAAATCATAAGATTTCACTGACACAGGATTTGGGCAGGCATTAACACTTTCCCCAGTGTTTCTTTTCTTTAAAAGTTGCTAGAGCAGCAGAATTAAGTGACACATTCACCAAATTATCATGGAACTCTTCAAAAAATTACCCTCTAGCAATGACCATTAAACTTTTCAGTTTCTTCAGTTACATTTCACAGACATATAGGTGTAGAGCCCTGCAGTCATCTGAGATAAAGTTGCTTATTGCTTACATTAAAATAGATTTCATTAGAGATTATTCTACCTAGCACTGAGATTCAGAAACCCTGGTAAACTTCATTCTTTAGTCTTTCTATTTAAGTCTCTAAAATATGCTCTTTACTCTTACCTGTGAAATATACAATTTCCTTATATTAGCTCTTTACTGTATGCAGAGGCTCCAAAGAATTCTATGGAGAAAAGTATCAGGATCTTATGAATCTATAGTAAGTAATTTAGTCATTTGTAAATTAATTATGCAACTGTGAAACGAAACCAATGAACTCTGTGTAAGTTCTTAATTACTATTTTAAATTATCTTTACACTGCATTTTAACACCTGAAGACTTATCCCACATGTAAACAGTTATGCTTGGCATAACGTTACTCCATAAAGCCATAATTAGAAGTTGATACAAATGAGTTGGAGGGGGCCCTCAGATATTTATTCACTCCATTAGAATCCCACCACATAGTTATAAAAGAATCATGCAGATTAATTCCACTTAAGAAATTAGAAAATACTCTAGTTATTTTTAGTTTAAGACAATGGAATGATTTATTATTTTTACAAAGATTCAATAACAAAAATTGAAGTAAACTTTCTATCGCATTTTTTTGTTTTAGAATGAAACAAAAATCACATGCCCTGATCTATTATAAGAACTTCTTTTCGTGATTAATGTCGAATTCTCGGGGTAACTGCCCAGCCACAGATAAACTAGTCTTTCCAGCTTCTGCATTCTTTTGAGTACTCTGGGAGGGCAAGCATCTTATTTTTCGACTCTTTCATTTCATTCTTGCTAAATTAAGCTCTAACAAATTTTTTCCAGTGTGGATTACTGAAGTATTATGATTTAGAACAAGTGCCTACTGGCTAGAATCATACTAACAAGTCATAAAGTTGATTTGCCGAGTGGTTACACAGCTACAATCAATAATCCAATTAAAAATGTATTCACATAGCTTTTTGTGTAAAGAATATGACAAAAATGTCAGTAGAGATCAAATATATCAAAAGTTACTCACCAAGTAGAAATATATATAAAAATCACCTAGCAAAATACATTTTCCTTATAAAGCACCATGATTTTATTTTTTAATTATTTTATTAGCATATTTTAATTTGTATAAATTATGGGGTTTCATTGTGATATTTCCATACAAATATATATTGATCATATTGGTTACTCTCTTACTCCCTTTTCCCTTGACTTTCTTGCAAATCTGTCAAATAGGTCTATCACCCTTGCAGTCATGCATACAATGTACTTCAATCATATTCTCCCCCGTTGTGCTCTCTTCCTCCCTTCCCATGTCCTTCTGGTTCTTCCTGAATGTATTAAATTAAATTTCATTTTTAACAAGTGATTGAAATAGGAACATCTTTTAACAATTTAAGGAATGACTTGTATAATACCACATGTCCCCAAAATGATGAACATTTAATTGTAATTAGTATATAAAATGAAGATAAAGAGCTTTTCATTATTTTAGTTAATTAATTAATTTATTTTGTGGTCTGGGGATTGAACTCAGGGCCTCTGCTTGCTAGGCAAATGCTCTACCACTTGAGCTATGATCCCAGTACTTTTTGCTTTTAGGTGATTTTTTTTAGATGATTGTTTTTAGATAAGGTCTTGAGCTAGTCTTGGCCACAATCATCTTACCTATGCCTCTGTATACCTGGGATTACAGACATGAGACACCAATCCTTAAGATTTTTTTCAATTACACATTTCTTTTATCTAGGGATAGATTAGAGAATTAAAAAATCTGGTAGCAACATAAAAGGGATAAGCTTCATTGTCTCAAAAAAATAATCCAAAATTGAAATTAGCAACAAATACATCTATCAATCTCTTATTTAAACAATATGAATTAAGAATTTATAATGTGGTCGACATTATGAGTGAACATTTTAGAAATGACTTTTGCCTCAATGCTGTTTACATACTATCAGGAAAGTTGGCGATTGGGGGAAAATAATGAGAACTAATTTTTTTAAAGAGGTATACGAGGAGTTAAGGGAGTTATAAGAGTACCACCTATCTGCAGGAGCAGACCTAGAACATGGTGCATTGGGAATCAGCCGGAAGCCTGGGCCCAGGTGGGTTCTGGTGTGCCTCAAGCTGCAGAAAACAACCCAGTACCGGGCAGACCTAGAACCTGTGTGAACAGGTGGCAGCCTGGAGTCTTAGGCCTATGGTGCTGACCTGGCACTGGGATGTAGAACATAAACAGGCCTGGAGCATGGGTCTCAGGCACAGGCCTGAAGTCTGGAGGCACTGGGGTCAGCCACACAATCAGATGTGCCCACAGACCCAGTCTGCTGAACAGGTCTAGAGCTTGGAACTTCTGTCCTACCACTGGGGTAAGCCTAGAGGCTCTATCACAGGCACCTGCCTTGAGGGCCTCACAGTGTTAGCTCTTATTGGAGTGGGTCCAAAGACAAATGCTCGCCTCTCCTTTCTGCCAGGTAGAGGGCATCTCTCTCTGGGCTGACCAGCCTTGTGGGAAGGCTGATGCAGCAATGTAAATCTGTCCTTCCTACACTAGTCAAGGGGTCTTTTCTTATTCTATGCTAAACTTAAGTGTTTTTTCTTTTTTATCTCTCACCTGATTTTTTCAGCTCTAGTAAAACATTTTTGCATGTGTATAGTTTTTCAAGTTAGTATCTGTGCAGGGAGATACGTTTTGGAAAGTCATACTGCACCATCTTACTGATATCCAGCCTAACTTTGAGAATATTAGTTTATTAAGGGTTACTTCAAAAAAGAAATGCTAATTGAAATTTAATTTACTTGACTTCTGCTTGATTTCTTTTCTTTTGAAGCAATATCTCTAACATCCATCTGCTATTCCATATTAATTGTATCCTGATTATTTTAATTCTTGTTATCTTAGTGCTATGGTCTATCTTCAATATTAGTGAGAAAACAGCAGACACAGAGAAAAAAGGAAAAGGCAATTTTGGTGGTTGGTTTCCTGGAAATGAGTTCTCTGATGATTCTCCTTACCATTGTTACTCATCTGAACACTTCAGTTTTTCAGTAATTAACCTCTTATACTGTCGTTGAGTCACAAAACAATAAATGTAGGTTCTGCAGATTTAAATACTTGGTTGCCCCTCTACTGCATTCTAGCTAAGCAACCAATAACTTATCCCTA